TTTTATTGAGGATGCTGGAACCAGTGACCTTGTGATCACAGGCCCAGAGGCTTAGCCTGCTGACCCATACATCTGTTATTAAATTAAATTCATAATTCAAAAATAGCTTTTACCCTACGGCTATACGCATTCTGAATTCTGTCTAGTCATTGTTAACACATACTATGCTAAATGAAGGTAGTGTTGTGCTGCACTTTAAGTCTATGTACAGTATAAATTTTAGTGTAATTTTATTGTGTTATTGTGCTGAATTTTATTTCTGTATTTAAACACTTATTTATGCCGAATTTGTGCTGAAGGGACTGCATCCAATTTCATCGTACTTCGTATGATGACAATAAAGATTCATTCATTCATTCATTCAAATGAGAAGATACTTGTATGGATGGTCCCAGTGTGTAATGTTTTAAGCAATTAGTGGAATTTCACACATGTGCTTTTCTAACTAAGACGTCCTCTGTTTGTCCTAAGGCTGACCAGTGCACTGGGCTTCAAGGTTTCCTGGTGTTCCACAGCTTCGGTGGTGGTACCGGCTCCGGGTTCACCTCCCTGCTGATGGAACGTCTCTCTGTGGACTTTGGAAAAAAGTCCAAGCTGGAGTTTGCAATTTACCCAGCACCCCAGGTGTCCACTGCTGTGGTGGAGCCTTACAATTCCATCCTGACCACACACACCACCCTGGAGCACTCCGATTGCGCCTTCATGGTGGACAACGAGGCCATCTACGACATCTGCCGCAGGAACTTGGACATCGAGCGTCCGTCGTACACCAACCTCAACAGGCTTATCAGTCAGATTGTTTCCTCCATCACCGCCTCCCTGCGCTTTGACGGAGCCCTGAATGTGGACCTGACTGAGTTCCAGACCAACTTGGTGCCCTACCCTCGTATCCACTTCCCCTTGGCCACCTACGCCCCAGTGATCTCTGCTGAGAAGGCTTACCATGAGCAGCTGTCAGTGGCTGAGATCACCAATGCCTGCTTTGAGCCAGCCAATCAGATGGTGAAGTGTGACCCCCGCCACGGCAAGTACATGGCCTGCTGTCTGCTGTACCGAGGAGATGTGGTGCCCAAAGATGTCAATGTTGCGATTGCTGCTATCAAGACCAAGAGGAGTATCCAGTTTGTGGACTGGTGTCCTACTGGCTTCAAAGTTGGTATCAACTACCAGCCACCTACTGTGGTGCCCGGGGGAGACCTAGCCAAGGTTCAGAGGGCTGTGTGCATGCTGAGCAACACCACTGCCATTGCTGAGGCCTGGGCCCGCCTGGACCACAAGTTTGACCTGATGTATGCCAAGCGTGCCTTCGTCCACTGGTATGTGGGAGAGGGGATGGAAGAAGGAGAGTTCTCCGAGGCTCGTGAAGACATGGCTGCCCTGGAGAAAGACTACGAAGAGGTGGGCATTGACTCTTTTGAGGAGGAAGAAGGTGAAGAATATTAGGCGACCACTGTTAATGAAGCCAAAGGTTTGTGAAGTCTTCAAGAAACCAGAATAACAACATAACATTAAACTATTCAGCAGGACTCATAGGGAACATATTTGTTTTTGTTTTTTTTGTTTTTTTGTAGCCCATTTTGTCTTCAAATTCTGCAGCATTAAAGAAACATGAATGTGTTAGAGTTCTCTTGCAATTCCCATTGTAAAAGGTTTGTTACAGCCATATGCTATTGCCAAACAAATAAAACAATTCATCCTACCTGATCTGTTTGTTTTACTGAAGGTGCTTCTTACTCTAAGGTGCAATCACAGGCCATCTCTCTAAATGATTAACTAAGATTATTGGATTTATTTGTTAGTAGGTCTTTGTTTCCAACTAGAATAGTAATTGTTAGCTAACCACCTTTATCCTTCGAATAACGTCCTTCTCTAAAGATGATGCTATCTTTAAGAGCTATATCAGCAAATTTGAATTTTTATTTGGTGTGAATTAGCAAACCAATCACCAAGAAGCTTGACCCAGCCATATATAAATAATTAAAAACTGGAAGAAAGCTGAATTGTACATGTTACCCATCAAAATATTTAAAATCATAATAATGTTAGAGAAAATTGTGATAATTTTCTAAGTAAATAACGACTTCCATCCATGGTAGGTGTCAAGGCATAAGAGGTGAATTCAAAATGTAATGAATTTAAGCTTTTAGAGATGCAACACGAGCAGCAAAGCTTAAGAACAAAGTAATTCTAAGAAAAGTTCATCTTCAAAATGTGGCCAGTAGAGGACAGTACCACACCGTATTCATCCATCCTGTTTCCATAATTCTCTTCACTGTTATGACAATCCAAAGTTTACCTGCATCAGGTACAAAAAATCAGTGTGTATAGTATGTAACTATCTGCCAGATAATATAAACTATGCCCCTTCAGTTACTTTTTAATTTCAGACATAAAGGAAATATATAAAAAGAAATTGAACCAAACTGAAAACAGTTAACATGTCTGTCAAGGGGTACTAGCTTAGCCATTTCAAAACCTCTCTGTTTGGCTAATCAATACCTCACAAAGTAATTAAGTGAGCTGGTGGTGAAAGTTGAATTGGCAGAGCAAAAGCACAGCTGTGCATCAAATATTGCAATCCACACAACATAATGGGCGATGTGTCAGAGTTCAAAAGAAAACAAATTGTTGGCGCACGTCTCACTGGTGCATCTGCGACCAGGACTGCAAGCCACTGTGGTGTCTCAAGAGCCGCAGTATCCAGGGTAATATCGGTATACCACCATGAAGGACGGACCACATCCAAAAGGGGTAACTGCGGACGCAAGAGGAAGCTGTCTGAAAGGGATGTCTGGGTACTAACCAGAATCCAAAAAACATACAACAGCTGCCCAAGTCACTGCAGAATTAAATGCCCACCTCAGCTCTCCTGTTTCCACCTAAACTATTTGTTGAGAACTCCACAGGGTCAATATTCATGGTCGACCTACTATTGCCAAGCCTCTGGTCACCCGTGCCAATGCCAAACATTGGTTTCAACGGTGCCAGTGCAATCTTGGGCTGTAGACAATGTGAAACATGTATTGTTCTCTGATGAGTCCACCTTCACTGTCTCTACCACATCCAGGAGAGTAACAGTGTGGAGAAGCTTACCTCCTGGATTGTTGGGTCCCCAGAGTGCAGCACAGGGGTGGATTGGTGATGGTTTGGCCTGCAATATCATGACATTCCCTAGGCCCACTACTTGTTCTAGATGGGCATCTCACTGCCAAGGACTACTGAACCATTCTGGAGGACCATATTCACCCAGCTGTTCAAACATTGTACCCTGAAGGTGGTGCCGTGTATCAGGATGATAATGTACCACTGCACACAGCAAGAGCGGTGACAAGAGTGGTTTGATGAACATGAAAGTGAAGCTGATCATCTCCCATGGCCTGCACAGTCACCAGGTCTTAAAATTATTGAGCCACTTTGAGGTGTTTTGGAGGAGCGAAACATGATGAAACGTTTTCCTCCACCAGCATCACATAGTGAGTGCCCACTGTTCTGCAAGAAGAATGACTCAAGAATGACTGTTTCTGTTATTCCTAAGATGAACTGATGCTGTATTGCAGGGGTTCCCAATGCGTCAATGGCGATCTACTGGTCGATCACAAAGGTACTCTGGGTAGATCATATGGCATAAAAAAAAATAGCTGGCGCGTTCAACCGCGTCAGCTGCTGCAAAGCAAGATCAACACAATGCTGATAGGCATTTCGCTGTGAAGTTGCCCCAAACTGCACAGGTGTTGGATATTTCTTGCTGGCCATTAAGTTGAGCCATCTGAGTGTGGAGGCTTTGATGGCTTCACTGGCTGTTAGTTTATTCCCGCTGTGTCATTTTGACGTAATGCCACAAGAACATAAAGCATCTTTACGGTTTATTGATTTAGCGGTGAATTTGTTGTTAATTATGTAATTAGATAGATTTTACAGGTCAGGGCTGGCTGGCTTTGGCGTTTATAGGTCCGTTTCAATTAGCAGCTCCTTTCACAGAAGCTTTTATACCATGCTGATTATAGAGCTGATATCAATTCACTTTACCCACTGGGAAAAGGGCATCATTTAAAGGAAGGACATGAAATGGGTAGCTCATTCTAGGCAATAACAGAGGCTCTTTCAGGGGGTGGAAATTTTACAGTCACAAGCACAGGTGTTTAAACATCCACCCATGCCTCTTTTAACTTAAAACCCACTGTTGTGGTTCAAGCTAGTTAACAACTGTATTCATATTCTTCATAGGGATTTATATCACTAATTCTACCAATTTAACATGATAACTAGAACATAACTTGATAGCAAGCTAACTAACATGATTGTTAATTTTGATAATTATGGAAGATTAGTTTGTATATTGTTCACAGGCATATGTGCCTCACATATGTGTGACAACAATCCATGTAAATCCATTTAAAACATTAAACTGCTTGCTGAGAGCAAAGGGTGTTTCATTGAGTTGTTTTAGGTTTGGAGTTGTGCAAAGTTGTTTCTGAGAAAAAGTGTTTTTTCACGCTCCTGAAATAATGAATTTGGGGAGATTTTGCATCGTGTGGCGATATGTCCCACATGTTAGCCACATGCTGTCGTGTCAGGAAGTCAAAATGATTTAAACCAAACAACACCATTAAAATGTCTCTGTATATGTGCTCTGGGGAATTACAGCATGAGTGCAACAAACTGATGACAGTGGCCTGTACTACAAAGCGGGGTTACTGGCTTATCGGGGTAACTGTCAGATTTAAGGTACTCTGGGCAAAATGTAAGTGAACGGATATGAAGTCCATTTAAACTGTATACCTTAAATCTGACAAGTTACCCCGATAAGCCAGTAACCCTGCTTCGTAGTACAGGCCACTGCTGGTAGAAAAGTAACTGTTGGTACTAAAATGTATTTCAGTCGTTAGAGCCCAAGCAGTGACTGATTAAAGCTGCATGGTGAGGATTCCATACTGACGAATCAGAACAGGCCAGGGGGGTGCAGATGATGTCAGCATGATATAAAACAGTCTCCTAGCGGCACAGTCAGTATGGTGTACTTTGCTACCAGCTTCAGGACAATGGCAGTGCATGGGGGTGTGTTAGTGCTGCTTCTTTTATTAGGTTGCAGCTGTGAAGCTCAACAGAAGATGGGGTTTCCGGCGAAGACTACCCAGCTACTAGCTGGCTATCTGGCTAAGCAAGGGGCTTCGCAGTCAGCGGGCTTCCAGAGTGGACTAGGGGCTCCGCAGGCGGTGGGCTTCCAGAGCGGGCTAGGGGCTCCGCAGTCGGCGGGCTTCCAGAGCGGACTAGGGGCTCCGCAGTCGGCGGGCTTCCAGAGCAGGCTCATTCTGACTAAGCAAGTTGCTCCTTCTCTGGTTAAATCTGTGACTGGAATGCAAGTGAGCCCTGATGGTGTGAGTGTTGTATGTGGGGAGGATTCTGTTGTGGTGCTTGTGCAGCCAATCCTCCTTGGTAATGGTCAGCCAATCAATGCATCAGACATCACCTTTGGTGGCTGTGCACCCATTGGGCAGGATGCTTCTGGCACAGTGAGGTTTCAATCTGCACTGCAGGCCTGTGGAAGTACAGTGATGGTATGAGGGCTTCCTTCTGATGGTTGCTGTGTTGGCTATGCTAGTGCTAATCATGTTGCTCTTCTCCAGATGACTGCTGATGCCCTGGTCTACAGCTTTGCATTGGTCTACACACCCAGGGGTATTAATGGCCTCCCCATCGTGAGGACCAATGGTGCTATGGTTGGCAGTGAGTGTCACTATTTGAGGTGAGGATGCCCCATAAGCTTTGGTGCTCCCTGGCCATAGGAGCAATTCTAGTGACTGACCCAAAAGGATGCTTGCTTCGTAGAAACAGAATGTGAGCAGCAATGCCCTGGTGCCAACCTGGATCCCCTACTATGCCACAATGGCTGCTGAGGCACAACTGAGCTTCTCACTGAGGCTGATGGATGGTAGGCAAGGGATTCATGCAGCATATCAGGCTTTGCTCTGTAGGCTTGTCCTCAAGTGCATGTGCCCTCTGTACAGATGCATGGCAGAATGAGAGGGCCTCCAATGTGTACTTCCTGGGAAATGTCCTGAACATTGAAGCCTCTGTCCTTGTGGGCAACAGTCAGCCCCTGCGTGTCTTTGTGGACAGCTGTGTGGCCACCTTGGTCCCTGATGTGTCCTCTGTCCCTAGCTATGCCTTTGTGCAGAACTCTGGGTGAGTAACATTGTATGGTTGTGTATGAGGCCACTTGGGCAATGCTGCTTGACATGCCTGGCCTTCAGGTGCCTGACTGATGCCAAGGTGACAGGATCCTGCTCCCAGTTCCTGCCCAGAGAGCAGGATGACAAGCTGCAGCTTCAAGATGGCAGGAGCTCAGTGAGTACAGGCACTCATGCAGGATTTCCATGCTTAAATGAACTGGCAGCTAGCATGCTTTTGTTGTCCCCCTAGATGTTCATTACTTGCAGCCTGAGAGCAACAGTGGCTTCTGTGCCTGTGGATTCCCAACACAAGGCTTGTTCCTTCTCTCTTGCTGCTAACAGGTCAGTGGCTGCAGCATTATNCCCAACACAAGGCTTGTTCCTTCTCTCTTGCTGCTAACAGGTCAGTGGCTGCAGCATTATGATGCTGGATGAGTTGAGCTGCTAAACAATTGCTATTCCCCATTGCAGGTGGATGTCTGTGGATGGGAATGACCAGGTGTGTGGCTGCTGTGACACCAGCTGTGGACCTGCAGGTGTAGCAGGTATGCTTGGCTTGGCCCAGAAGATGCTTTGGTGGCTTGTGTCGGTGTGACTGAGGCACCCTTCTTGCCCCTGCAGGTGCTCAAGGCACAGGTGTTCTGGGTCCCATTGCTATCCAACAGGGTCCTCCCATGGGTAGTCAGCCTGGACAGCTGTACAGTATATGCTGAAGGTATAGGTACCTACTGCCCTAATGTGCCAAGCTGTGCATGGTACCAGGATGGAAGGAGCCAATTAACTTGCCTGCTTTGTTCTGTGCTGCTTCCCTCTGTGGCAGCTGTGCTGGAGACCAAGGGAACAGTCTTGTGACTGAATAAAGCACTAGTAGTATTTGAAATGGTGCAGTTGTCTGTCTTGGCTCCCAAGTACACTTCTGGACTGCCTAGAATTCTCCAGCCACATCACACTGCTTTCTGCCTGTGGATTTCATGTCTGGAATGGGACCCTGGGGGGAAGTCTTCCCCTTAGATGGAAGGTATTAGTGTGGTTGCATATTATGGTGTTTCCTTCACCAAGGAAGCCATATCAGGGAAGGTACTCTCTGTATGGGGATCAGGGCCTGGTACCAACAGACAAGGCTAGTCAGAAGTGAATGCCGATTCCCACCCTCATTCAGTCCCTCTGGTCTGGGGTGGCTGACAGCAGCCTCCTTTCAGTGTGGATCTCAAGCACCACAGCCTGGTGTGACATCACCTTCGTAACATGCAAGTGGTCATACTGAATAGGAGTCCTTGCTCATCAGGCACTTCAGGGTGTAGGATTGATTTCAATAATGGTAGGGATTAGGCAGTCATGATATCCCTACTGATAAAGGGAAATGCAGCGTACACATCCAGTCTCGGGAACGTCTAACAGTCGGCGATGGTATTACCCCTTAATACTGGTTTGCAGTAGTGCTTAATTTTGAAACTGGTGCTGGAGCTTAAAACAGAGACCACCTCAGTATCTGAGGTGAAGTGCACACAATGCACTGCGAATGAAATGCGTATGTAAGCGCCATTAATGCAGAATGGTGTGGTTTTTGTTTAAATGGTTGGAATATGTTTTAAACCTGCCATAAGTTGAAATTTATGTAGCATATTACATGAAAGTGCTTCTCCGGTTAGTTTTGGTTTGCAACTGCCGGAAGGAATGTGTCGGAGCAATAAAGTTTTTGTTTTGAATATGCAAATAAAGAAGTGGACGTTGGGAGCCACCATTTTAACGCGTAAAGCAGTCTACCAATGTTCGTTTCACAGAAGTGGTCAAATTTTTAGATTGTGACAAAAAGAATAACATTCCCAAACGAAGTCGACCACTACAGCGTACCTGCAATATTTGTTGCATCAAAGACACTCCCTATTGGATGCATAATGGTCAGGGGCGGATTAAGGTGCACAGAGGCCCCTAGGCTACAGTAGTCTGTGGGCCCCCCAACCCCGCCCCCCTCCGCGCCAATGGGGGCCCCCTTGCAGGCAGGCACACGTGGGGCCCCTAGGCTTAAGCCATATCTAGCCTGTGCGTTAATCCGCCCCTGATAATGGTCCATAGTCATCTCATCTGTGGCCAAGTGTTTTTTGTGTGTTCATTTGGTGCAGTGTTTTTAAATCAGATAAGGGGAAACATGCAATAAAATCCAGTAAAAAATGCTGTTTACGTTTACAGCAAACTAGTGGTCACTTTAGCAAGAACCAATGCTAATGATTTCGCTGATTTAAAGAAAAAATGAGTTTGTCATTTTAAGTATTCAATCTGATCATACTTTTCTAGTACTTGGATCAACACTATAGACACCAACCATGGTACGATGGTCCATCTTACGATATTTTGACTTTACGATGGGTAAATGGTTTCACTTTCAGTACATTATTCAATAAATCAAATGAGACATTTTTATAAAATTGGCCTTGTGTTATTTTACCCGCTATATAATGTAAGTGTTCAAAGCATGTTTGTAAGGTAGGCTAGCTAGGCAAGGCTATAGCTAATGTTTGTTAGGTGTTGTATTAAAATGCATTTTCTTTTTACGATATTTTTGCCTTATAGGTTTATCGTAACCCGGCGACACATTCTCAGATGTCCGATTTGTTAAATATTGCGTTCAGTTTTCATCAGTTTAAATAGATGCAATATAGGGATATTGGATTCTGACA